GCGTTAAAAATAAAAAAAATATAAAAACGCAAACTAATAAAAATTTAACTGGTTTTTATTTCACTAGCAGTGTTAAGCTTAATATCCATCTTTTTTCTTCAGTCCGCGATTATGCTTTCATTTTTGAATTTTCTGCAGGCAAACAAGTCTTTATGGTTTTACGTCCTTCCGCTTTGCTGACGTAAGTAAAACACGAGCCCTTTTCGTACTGCTTAAGTCATTTGACTAACAAAAACGATTTTAATTAATTTTTTAACCCTTTACATACAAATTATAAGAATTTTACATTATGTTTGTAAAGTATTCTTAAATTACATGAAAAGTTGAATTGATTCAACTATGTACGCATGTATGTGTGAGCCTTAATTTAGAAGTTAAATTTAGTTATTTTGAACGATTTTCGATCGAAAATTTTAACATTTAAAAAATGTATACACATTTCAAATGAATTTCAAATACGCAAGTGGCAATGCCATTCAGGAACTCATCCTTATCCCTGCTGAGGTAAGAATCACTTCTGTACTTCTACACCACCAAAGCTTGTAATTACCTGTTTTAGAGTATTTTCTGCAGTGTGGATCACTTTCGCGAGAAGTGCAATTCCCTTCATTAGTTTTCGACTTCTCTGGACTGTTCCATATGGCGCGACTATGGACAGTCTAACCATCCAGTTAATTTTTGCTGCTTCAAATTCAAGGATTTGAAAAGTGTCCACAATGATATCAGTCCTCATCAGATATTCCTCTAATTTTGTCTTAATTTTGATGTGTCTTTAGCTTCAGTAGCTAAATCCCAAGATCCCAAAACTTCTCCTCTACCGAATGACGATAAATTATATTTATTATATTTTAAAGGGCTCAAACATTAGCTGTTCGTCATATAGTGTCCATTGAAGAACTATTTTATCCTGTCCTACTCATAATTACCGAAGGTTTTCTTAAACTTCACCGGTATATAGAAAAGTCTTAATTTTTTACCGATCAATGTTCTACCACGCAGATTAGTGGATCAACTGTTTGTGTTTGTAATTCTTTAACAATATAGGACATTTTATAAAAGCAGTGCATTCTCCAAGAGTATGACAGGATGTTTCTATACCTTCCATACATAGTTTGAATTTCTTGGTTGTCCATAGTTCTAATGCATTGGCTTAGAACAATAGTTCTAAGGCTTATTTAGCCTTTGTGTATGTCCTCCTATAATTTGAATTTTTATCTAGGGTTAAATCTGCATTATATGGATTCGAATTTCAATTCAAAGGTATTGCAATTATGAGTTTTTGTTGTCTTTTTAAACACAAATTTTGTAAGTACTGAAAAACTCGTTCCAGTCAATGACAATTGAATGTGTTTAAATGTAAACATTTGTTAATTCTAAAAACGTAAATATTCAAATGTATATAAATGTATAGTATATAATAAATATAGTATGTAATAGTATGGTATAGTTTAAAATCATTTTATGGATACACGCAGTCAAAAAACCGCAATTATTTGTAGTAGAAATTAATGTTACTCTATGACAATTAAAATTAAAATTTAATTGCTTATAATTAACTTTTTCATTACTGTTACAATATCAATAATTGGATTTGAAATAAAATTTTTTATGCTCAAACCCTAAAATATGAAAAAATATATTTACGTATTTGTCATAAGAGCTTCGAATATACGTTCACAAAATCTAAAAACGAGGAGGCATAATACGTCAACGCACTGTCACCTTGAACTTAACACACCCACTTTGGTGTGGGTGGTGCCAGTTGCAGATTAGTCGCCGCTTTTTTATCAATCGCCAGACAGACCATCAAACGGCGATTTTTTAGCTCTGCTGTAATATTTTTAAATTTCACAGTCATTAAGAAAATTACGACATTTTTGTTTAAAAGTCAATTTAATGTCAAAATAATTACTAAGAAAATACCCTAATTACAATCGAATCTGTATGTTATTTCTGGTTTCTGGTACGTTATTTGTAGTAATTTGCAAAAACTAATAAACAATAATTTAAATTAGTTTTGAACTGTTACTTAAATATAAATAAAAATTTTATCTCTATACCAAAATAGATGTCTAATCATCACGCCACTAAATTATTTAAATAAAAAAATTAGTTAAATTTATATTGGAATAAAATCTATATTTTCCAATTTCTAATCATTTGAAAAATTCCAATTTCCACGGAACTACAGAAAATTAAAATCTAAAATATGTTTTTCTACATTGAAAATAGAACTCAAGGTCCCAGCATATTTTATGTGCTCAAAACTTATGATTTCTGTATTTAAGTATAACAATATATGTGCGTACCCGTCTACATATATAAAACAATAAAATATTTTCTACTATAAAACTAGCATGTACACAAAAAAAACTACAATAAATCTAAATTTATACACATTAGTTTATCAAACGATTTAGGTTTTTCATTGTATACATATACCAAATGTTATACATATAACATATATTTTAGTAAATTTGCTAGGTGAGGAAATTTTAAATATAATTACACATTACTTAACAATATTCGACTTTAATCATCAATATAAATAAAAAAGAAATTAATAAAATAAAAACAATCAGGCTACTTCCAAGCAACGAATAGATGAACAACAACCATAGTACATCTTTTGCGCTGCCATCTCACCCTAATTGAACAGAAAACACACATCTATTTAAATGACAACTAAAATATCTCTTATTGATGATTTCCTAATATTAGATTATTAGATAAGTATTTTCCTTTTGAGTCAAAATACTGGACTGGAAAATAACAAACAATATAACTTCAGCTCTCATCTACTTTCTATAAAAACCGACACTTTATTTCTACGAAGAGATCCGTCATATAACCTGCCAACAGTTTCAACTGTATTGTTCATCAAAAGTAATTATTGTAGCACTTAAAGTATTCGAAGCTGAAGTCATCAATATAGGTATATGCTTTGGCGTTTACTTTTCTCATTCTTCTCTCCCGTCCCTTCCAGAATTATCATTTTGTAGTTTACGAACACATGATAAATTCCGGAATCTAGATCTGGAAAATATACTGGCTTGAAAAAAATGTAAAATACATATTTAATTCGGCCATGTATGTCATAGACTTGCGCTGTCTAAATAACAATAACATTTTGTTGTTGTTCCTCAGGGAACGTTTCTCTACGATTTCATCCATCAAATACATTAAAAACAAATTAAATCATCATGGATTAGTGATATAATATTTTTAATTATGGAATAATGTTTTTATACTGCTCGTATTCTAAAACATTGGTAAATCCGGTCGACAGTGACGTCTTTGGTATGACCTTGTTTTGTGTTTGGAGTGTATAACTTTATTATCACATATCACATAACTTTATTCATCTTATAACGCTTTAATGTGTCAAATGTATTAAATTTAAGCACCAAACACGAATCATTATACTTACTTTGCTGATAAGTTTTCTTGTGTTTGAAAACGATTTTGCGGATTTTTTTTTAAATATCTTAATGTCCTTTTAAATGGTAAGAACAAAAATTTTATAAAAATTTCAACTCTTTTTATAATTTCGTAATTAAATATAAACTTCAAATAACGAGAAAAAGTATATATATGAATTTTTACAATATTTTTAATGATTTAAAAAATATTAGATTATTATAATCAACGTTTTTTTAAATTATTGTTGTTCATTAGCATATTCATGTAATTACTGAATTAATATAATAAACTAATATTGCTCTAATTAAAATCCATAATAATATTTAAAAAATGAATACGATATTTTTATTTGTAAGTTCAAAAAAAATTAATTTTAATTTTATTAAGTTAAATTGAATGGGTAATCATTCTAAAATCTATAGAGGCAACGGTGCGTATGAGAAACAATTATTACTTATGCAGAGAAATTGAAACAAAATGTTTAAAACATTTTCAAAATTAAATTAAAAGAACTTAAAATTTATTAATAAAGCTTAGTAAATATATACGAATGTTAATAACATCTAATGTTTTCATTATAATGAAACATAACATATATGTACGGTCAAATAATATTTCAGTATCAAGAAATAATGTAGCATAACTTTGTGGTTTACATAGAATGTACATACTTTCTAAACGGATTTTTAACCTCATGTTTGAAGGAAACATTCCCTTTATAAATAAAGCCAAAAATAAGAAATAAGTTAAACAGTTCCATATTATAAACTCTGCAAATAGTGAGATAAACCATAAAGGAGGGAAAAAACGCATATTACAATATATAAAACTGTCCCAAAGGAAATATAAATGAGCAAAAGCACATTGACGTCAGAAAGCACTCAATTTTATAAAACACGTGCTTTACCCCAACGTATGAAAGTAAAAAACTTAATTTTTTTTTGGCTCAGTGAAATTTCTTTTCCTAATAAATTCATTGTTGTTGCAGGCTTTCGTTTGGTTGCCATAAACATTGGTTGCTATGCATGTGCTTCATTATTTGTTATTGTGTTCACGTCATTTTGTTTGCGAGCCAAATGCTAAGGCATTATTGCTTATCAAATGAGAGTAAAGCTAAGATTGTATGGAGAATGCAGTTATAAAATGGCTAACATTTTTTATTGCCCTAAAGCGAATATTATTGTCTCGTACTAAAATTTTTTTTGATGTGTTTGTTGTTTTTGTATTAATGCGAATAATTTTGTTTACATTCAGTCAGTTGAGTGATGAGTTCGTACAACAGCAGTAACAACAGAAAAGTGAAATAAGAAAATTGAGTCAGAAATTTTATTTTGAGTTAAATAACTGTAAATATATAAGTGATAGTGTGTGCGTAAATAAACTTTTTGAGTGTAAAACGCGCAGCAGCTGCAAATTTTACACGGTTTTGTGGAAAACATAACGTGTTAAGAGTTTTGTACTTTTCTTCTACTCATTTCAATTTGTTTTCTTTTTACTAGTTTGAGGCATAAAACACTCAGATAATTTTCGGTTAAGTAGTCAGTTTTGTACATTACGGGGTGTTAGACGTAGACGTGTATCCAATTGGTCATTAAAAATACGTTAAGTAAAATAAAACTTTAAATCATATCATAATAATATACACCAAATTTGTGACATCACAGTATTGTGCATAAAATAAATAAAATTTAGTATTGTGCTTAAAATAAATAAAATTTATATAAAAACAGTTTGAATGAAACAAATTCTACAAGGACATTAAACTGCCGCTAATTAAAAGTCAAATTTAAATTTATGTAAGTAATTAAAAAAACGTTGAAAGAAATTTCAATATAGTTCAATATAGTATTAAATAAAAGCATTAAAACTATAAGCAAAAAAAGACTGTAGAATTATCCTTAAATCAAGTTGTCTGCAACTCATAGATACAGAAAAAAATCATTACTAGTTGCCAAAAAGAAAATATTTTCTTTTCATAGCAAGGAAAGAAAATCAATAGTTAAACTTCTGATGTTTCCCTTTTTTATTTCAATCATACAAACATTTGTTATAATATAGTAATTGCTATATAATTCCATAATTGTTGTTTTTCCTTTTCAAATTATTGTATATACAATCGAAACATGTATAAGAATGGCATTCAGTTACATACTTTTATATTGATGATATAAGTGAGTTGTTTCTTGTATTATTTATACATACATAAAAATATATTTCTGCTCTACTCTTTATGATTTACTACTTATCAAAATGACTATTTTATTTAAGTTTATGCTCATAAAATTGTCTGCTACTGATGATAAATTTATTACTATTATTATTGATAAATTATTGTTACCTTCGTGTATCGGTTATAGGATTTATTATACTACTGACACATTGTGGTACACATTGTGGTATATTTTTTTGTATTTATTTAGAAATTACATACCATAACTTTTTAAATATCCTTGATGTAAATATGTTTTTTTAAGTTTAAATTTTTTATTTTGATCCAAATATCCAATCGTTCATATATCCTTTATGTAAACATAGCACTTTAAATTTAAATTTATGTATTTGTATATGTTATATATATATATTTTACCAATAAGTATGTGAATGCAACTGAATACATATTATACAATATATGAGTTCATACTTAATAGTGCAATAACTGTTTTCAAGGTTTCATAAGTATTAAGAGCAAATATTGCTGTTACTAATAAAGGATATGCATATAAAATTGGGGCAGTGTTATTTAAAAATAAAATTTATTTAATATATCAAGTATCCTAGCTGTAAACATTAAAACAAAGTACATAGAGTAATTTTAAATGATTAATGAGTATATAAATCTGTAAACATTTCAATTCATAAAACCTTTCTATTTGTTAAGCAATTACCTACAAAAAAATTATAATGTCCTTACCGAAAAAATGAATTAATAATTTATATAACCTAATACATAATTTATAATAATAAATCAAACCAAAAAAGTAACTCAATTTAAGACAAGCAAAAACTGTGCGCTTGGCATACGGAGCATACATTTAATTATAAGAACTGGAGAGTTATTATGGTAACAGAAGGTTAATAACAAGGTCCCTCATAGAAAGCAACTGAAGTCAATCAAATCATTATTATCTTGGATAGTCTATTAAAACGTTATTCCGCAATGATTTGCTAAAGTTATTGGCAATTAAAAACGAGATAATGATTTGCTCATACTACCATAGAATTGATAGTAACGAAACTACGAATAATCTTGTTAGTTCCGAATTAGCTATTCAATTCTATGGGCTGGAATCTCATTATTCAGTCTGTTGGTTCCTAATAATGTCTTTCATATAATATTGGCAATTAAAGTCACCACATTACAAATACTATAGTGGGCCATCGCCATGTCGAATCCTATTTATCAAATTTAAATAGTCAAGCAGCAAACAAATCATAATTATTTTTAAAACTCATCTGAAGAATTTTGGCGATTGATCACTACAATTACTGGCAAGTAACAACCAGTTAATGAATTGCTGAATTATTGTTTGTAGTACTCGTAGAAAGGTTAACAATGGAACTTAAAATAAACTCAAAAGACCGGATCATATACTAAATACACTAAAACTAGTACAAAAACTATGATCATCTGTCACCAAGGCCTGCGTGACCATCTCAACAAAGTGAGCTTAACTGAGACTACAGAATACTGTTTCTTTTGTCTAGCTCTACAAAAAAAGTCTATTGGTGATAAATGATATGATATTGGTGGCCAAATTCATCACGAACAGAAAATCATCCGCGAAATAAAGCCAAAGTAAAAGATATCTTCAATTTCTCGGAAAAAATCGATTTGTTGTCATATAACTTTATCAAATGTATAGTACAAAGCAAATCCAACTCATAATTTAGTTACTCTTTAAGGTAAAAGTGCTACTACTTTCCACTGCTTTTGCATTTATGTAATATGTATTTGTAATTATATTTATATTTAAATCTATACTTAGCATATATATGTCAAAAATTCAAAATATATATTAGCCTTCTATAAATATTTTATATTGTACTCGTAAAACATATCAACATCATTACTATCAAAATGTGTCACGAAACTTTAATACCTAATTTTGTGCGGTTATATTACTGAGTCATGTTTAGAAACTTGATGCAAGAAAAAACAATATATGTAATGTTTTATTCATTATAACATTATATAACTGTGTTTGCGTGAAAGTATATAGTATATATATATATATAACTCTACAAAATAAATATTAACATTGTTTTCTGTTTTGTATGTTATTAAGTTTTAATGAGCTTATACCTATTTTATATTTTTTCCAAAATAAAATAATTGCTTTGTTTTTGTATTGTTAATAAAATTATATTGTTTAAAAATAAGTCGGTCTGTCCGTCAAAAAATTAGCGGCGCTTTTTCCTCTTAGTTTTCGGCATGTATAAATTAACAAAGCGACAATTTAAACAATTAGTGTGTGATTTGGACGTACCGATTTATTTTAACACATTTAAGTGTTATTTATATTTATTGAAAATACTTAAAAAGCAAGCGAAGCAAATTTCCTAAGCGTCTTTGGAATCACATCACTATTGACAGCTATAAATTCGAAGTTGTGAAAGAGACTACAAGCTGACCTCAAAAAAATTGTTAAGAGAAAATAAAATGAAAAAGTCATCTCAGACGTATACATTGTGACCGAAAAGTTTCCGGTCACAATGTACAAACGCAAAATTCTTAATCTTCATCAATATTTATTTTATCTCCTTCAAAATATGCTCCATTAGAAGCGATACACAAATGCCAACGTTTCTTCCAATCATCAAAACATTTTTTATAGGCGCTTTCCGGTATGGCTTTGAGTTCCCTCTGCGAATTCTGTTTTTCGTCTTCTATGGATTCAAAACGCGTTCCTCTGAGTGGTAATTTGAGTTTGGGAAACAGGAAAAAGTCACACGGTGCAAGATCAGGTGAATACGGTGGCTGTTCGATGGTATTTATTGAATGTTTGGCCTTAAAATCGTTGATAATGTTGGCTCGGTGCGAGGGAGCATTATCGTCATGAAAAATCCATGAATTATCCTTCCACAATTGAGGCCGTTTACGGCGGATAGCTCTCACGACCGATGCCTAGCTCTCGTGCTATCTCTCTAACACTCACATGAGGATTTTGGAACACGATTTCCTTTGCCTTTTCAATGTTTTCGTCGGTGGTAGAGGCCGAAGGTCGTCCAGAACGCGGCATGTCTTCGACGGTCGTACGACCGTCCTGAAAGGCTTTGTACCACTCATAAACTTGAGTTTTCGATAAAACTGATTACCCATAAGCCTTTTGTAGCATTCGCAACGATTCTGCACACGAAATTTCGTTCGAAACACAAAATTTGATGCAAACTCTTTGTTCAATATTTTTTTCCATTGTTTTTTCGCAACGCACTACTGAGGGGAACTGGTTTCAACAGCTGCCGTAAACGAACTGTCTGACAGATCGCGCTCATTTTTGGCATAGTAATTAAGGACAGTGCTGCCAAACTACATAAACTTAAAATATCGAAAAATATACAGCGCGCGAATTTTAAATGAGAATTTCCGAAAACTTTTCGGTCACAATGTATATAGGGAATTAACAAAAATCTTCCTCTCAAGGATGATAACTCCTTTTAAGAGACAAAGCTTTTTGAACAGTTTTTACATATATGAAATTAATAATAATAATAATAATAATCGTTATTTATAATATATAAAATCTTTCCTATTCAGATATTGATTATATACATTATAAAGATTTCTTAGCTAACTATGCTTTAAGGTTTGATGATACTGGACTTTGGTATCAAAAAATGTAACATTTTGTTTAGATATGCTATCTAGTAAAAGTTTAAAATGAAGATAATTGTGAAAACCAAATATCTTACTTTTTTAGTTTTGAATAAGTTTTCCTTTTGCTTTTTATTCACTGCAAACAACTTATAATAAAATATTATATAAATTAGTGCTGAATAATTTCTATTACAAACTAATTTATTATATCACATTTTTATTTTTGCTGCAAACTATACCAAATTGTTTTTTTCACACTAATAAAATACTTAGATGTCCACTTTTTCTGCAAATAAAATATTAACGGATGTTATTAAAAGTTATTGAGGAGCTCATAAAAGCTAAAAATACTTTATTATATAAAAAATTGCAAATATAACGTTTTTCAAAAGAGGCCAATCGTTATGTAAAAATAAATTGTAAGTCCACAAAAATTATATACATATAAGTATATATTAATATTCAACTACTATTATAATTTTTATATTTTGTTAATTTTTTTCTTAAAATAAAGTACAAATATTAATTCTTGTATTATTACAATAATGAAAGTGAAATAAGTAATCGATATTATGATTACTTTATATAACTCAAAAAATAAAATTTAATAACAAAAATAAATAAATAATTAAATTAATTAATAAATAATTTTTTAATAAAATAAATAATTTCTTATTGATAAAAAATTTGCATAAAATTGTTTTCTATTCAAAACCGTAAAAAAATAATAATATGTACATAATTTGTTAATAAAACATTATATTATAATTTTTATATATTGTTTAATTTTATTTTTTAAAATAAACTAAAAATGTTAATTCTTATATTATTCAAATAATGAAAATGAAATAAAAATGAATTGATTTTATCATTACTCTATACAACTCAAAAAATGAAACTTAGTAACAATAAATAATTGATTAATAAAACATATATTTAAAAATAAAAAAATAACTCTTTTTTAAATTTATTGATAAATAATTTGCACACAGTTTTTTTAAATTCAAAACATTAATAAAATTTAATAATAATAAATATTTTGTTAATAAAAAATTTATATAAAACTAAACAAAAATATTTTCCTTTAATTCTTTGAAAAAAAATTTGAATACAATTTTTTTTGAATCCAAAATATTAATAAAATTTAATATGAACAAATAATTTGTATTAAACCATATTTATATAAAATTATAAAAAAACTTACTTCTTTTTTTTCAAATTTATTGATAAAAGATTTGTAAAAACTTTTGTTAAATCCAAAAGATTAATTTCTATTGAATTTGAGAATGATTGCGGCAGTCATCGCAACTTCCTAAAAACTTTCAGCAGAAAAGTAACTTTCTTATATACAAATCATCAAACTGATGCTTAGTCAAGTTTGCTACTAACTCACTTAATTGTTAATTAAATTTTATAACTTTTTGATACAAATTCATTAAACTAATTAATTAACATAATTTTTTTGTCAGCACTGTTGGTTGTCAAATATCGTGTAAATAAGCACAACAAGTAAGCAGATTGCTTGATGTAATCACTTAATTGGCATCAAATAACTTTTAAGCAGACATTAATTACGAAAACATCGCAGTGGGTGTAATTTCAGCAGCAAGTATACAAGTATCTGCGACTAAAAATATATACCTAATTGATAAATAATTTTTAACAAAATATTTATTAAATAAATTTGCTTAGGCACATAAAATTTTAATGAATTAATTAAGGCGCTGCGGTGTATTTTTCATAAGCATTTTACTAATGACATGGCACAAAGTAATTTAGGGCTTAATTGTAATTTTGCAATGAAGTATAATAAAATTTAATCAAAATGTTTTAGTCTTAATTACGAGACATTTACCATATATAGTAGGAAACCTTTTGGCATTGTTTTATAATTCTTCTGGTTTAATTTTTTATATGTTAATTACATCTTAATTAAAAGCTACTGAAATTATTATTTCACCTTACGTTTTGTTATATAAAATATTAAAATACCCTGCGGCAGTAAATAATTTCTTGTTTAGTTGCATTTCATATCCTTGAACTTTTTAAGCACGTTAAGGTCTTGAATTAAAATTTTGTAGCCTAACTCAAGGGGCATAATCTCATTTGCGTTCGCATACAAATAACGTAGCTGAATTGTCGTTTACGTGTCTAATCTGTGAATCTGCAGCAATAGAGAAAAATGTAAGTCTAAAACAAAATAAACACAAAATAAACACAAAATATGAGAACACAAAATCGAGCCGTCCCCAATCCCAACATCATGCGTGTTACTTCTCGAGCTAATTTGTTGGCGATTTTTGTTTGTTTATCAGTCCTGCACGTATACGGCTAATCCGTGCTTCTTCGACTGGCGGCATATCCTGTGCGATGCAAAATTAAAAACGCTTGGCTGTTATAAATTCATAAATTTAATAAATTTTGTAACTTTTCCTTCCGACATCAATTGAACCTTTTACTCAGCAGTGCAGTGCGATAAAATTTTTGTGGCGCAGTGTCGTAATGCGTCAATTTTTTACTGCCGTATTTAAGCGGATTTTTTGGCACTTTTATTAAATAGCGGTAATTATTAAGTGCGGAAACCATTAAACAAGAATATTTTCAACAAATTCTAGTTAAAGGAAATGCTTACCACAGCATTTAAAAAGTTTTACAACTTTTGTCAATTTGATGAAAATTTATTTGTTTACTTAAGATTTTGGATAAATAAGCTACAGACAAGTCAGTTTTTCCTTTAATAGGTTTTCTTGCTTACTTATTTATTTAAATCTCATATTGACTTGCATGTACTAAATTTTCTTTAGTAAATTGTTAATCGATACACGTGTGTTATATTATTACAACTATAAGTACAAATTCTTGTTTTCATTTCTTTTTCTAAGCAGTACAGCCATTTTATTTTGCTATAAGTTAATTCTTGTCACATACTAATATTCTCCAAAAAGTACCTTTTGAATGCCGTGAATATTAATATATTTATCAGGATTACTTACGTATTTATTTATACGTCCTTTATGCCCTTGAGGTCTTATTTTAGTTTTTTTTGTTTTATCTGTATATTTTTTTTTTTGGCAACTGTCAACTACAAATGGCTAAATAATACAACTCAACATTTTAAACATTGACGTTGTAATACAAATATAGAATTTGTGTTAAGTATGATAACAACATGCTTATCAGGATTGTCAAAATATATGACATACATAAGTGATAAAATACACAAAACATTTTTAATGTCAAATTTGCACAACTAGATATTATAGAATACGTAAAAATGTTGCTGTTTTTTTTTATATGTATTATCAATTTATCAAATAGAAATGATGAAATTTATTTTATTTTACATACTCGTACCATGTTAAACTGTTCAATAAATGAGTTCAATAAATTCATATAGAGTTCTTAATATTTTGATTTCAAAAATAAATGTGAATAAACCGTACTTGCGACAAGAATATCGATCAAACTTTTATTTTAATATTCATATATCAATATTCATATTCACACATGAAATGCGTTCCATGTGGCATCTTACTGAATTCTAGTGCGGTAATTTTTGATGATTTATTGGTATAAAGCTAGCATAGGTTAGGTTAAGATTAGCCTTAACCCGAGATTTAATCGTTTTTATATTGTTGAGAGTTTGAAGATTATCCAAATAAGCACATAAACACAGTAATCGTCTAGCCAACAAGAAGCGAAACTATTGCTCATTCCATTCATTCTACTAAGTGGGGCACACTCTACCTTAGAGTTTTTTTTACCTTTTTTGTGATACACCGCACTTAAGTATTTAAGAAATTACTATACAAAAACAATTTGGATCTCCAAAAAATAACGATTATTTTTTTTATTTTACAACAACAAAAACTTAGCAGATTTTATAAGTAAAAAATTTTTATTTCATAATCTTTATCTATTTTTGAATTGTATGCTATTGCGTAAAATAAATGGGTCCTTAGATTAGATTAGGCAAAAACATAGTAGATGAGAGGCACTCCCATCGTCTTCTCCACAGTCTTCCCATCTTTTATTAAAAATATTACTACAGAAAGAACTCAGGAACAATTTGCATGATGTTAGTGATATGCTGAGATTATTTAGGTGTTCCGAGTGCGGTCCTGCAACACCCTTTTTGGCTAGCTCGGGTATGACGAAAGAGTTTTCCCTATAATTACTTTGTTTAATAATGGATTGTTAAATTTAGAATTTAGAAAATTATTGAAAAAAGTGTCCGATCCTATTGTCTTACCTGTATGAAATGTAGCCTTTAACGAATTTAGAATAATAACAAATATATAATTCAATCAAAAATTTAAACAAAATTTCAGCTTAATAAAGATATTTTAATTATACTGTGATTAATTTTATGCAGTACGAGAAATATTTGTTGAGTTATCCTTTTGAGCTTTATACATTTATTACCGCAATATATATCAGTTACAAAGATTAAATCCGAATTAAACTTAAATATCTTCCCAGTAAATCATTCTTCAGATTTGGTTGTGTCAGGTAATTGGTTGTATCTCAAAACGTATTTCGTCTAATTTGCAGTTACAATTGCTGGCGATAAAACTGAAGCTTTGTTGTGATGAAACTAAATTTTTTTCTTAATCTTATCTTTTGTTCTTCTAATGATACATTGAATTCAAAAATAATATAAAAACAGACAGTTCATTACCAATTTTGTTTCTACATCAAACGTGTTGCTGGTAATTTGCCAAATTTATCACGGTTTGCAATTTATTTACCATTTTTTTTATATCTATATTATAATATTCTCATTAAGTTAATAATATTAATGCATTACATATATTAATGTATTATATATATATTGAAACGTGTATATTTCTTATGTTGGAAATATGAACTTTTTTCATAATTTCTCTATTTAAGTTTTCTGTAGTATCGCCTAATATTGTCTATATATAGAACTCATAACCTTTATTGCATTTAAAACGGTTTTTATAATATTTAGGAAAAGCAAACCAGTTAATTACTCTCTCGATTTTGCTGAATAATTGTGTATCTATGTCAGCAATATAGTTATAAATAGATGCAGAAAATCATATATCTTATGCTGAAAGCCAAATTTGCAGTCACTACTTTGGGGTGGATACACGGTTATATTTTTGATCCATTGTGATTAAAAGTAGCATCCATATAGCTGACAAATTTTTAATAAGTAAATTCTCTTATAGTGTTTCAAAGTTCTCTTACAACAACAATAATGTTAGTCAACTTTATGTGGCTACCTTCTATCGACATATTTTGAATTTTATATAACACATTCATCGAAGAAGTTCATTGTCGAAGAAGTTTCTTTATTCTTCAAAAATGGTTATTCATTTATAAAGTTTTGCTTAATCCATAAACAAAATATTTTCTTTCCTCATTTATTAAAAATGACTAGAATTTTTACGTATTAAATAGATACCAAAAGAATCTCTTAAACTTTTATATATTATTAGATTAAAAAAGTAATAGAAAAATATTTTAAAATATTTTCTGTGCAGTTATTACCAATTTATTTAACAATACTTGTATTTAGTAATTTTTTTATCTATAAAAAATATTATTTTTAAGATATAAGGAATTTTTTAAATAACAGTTGTTTTTATTTAATATTTTTTAATTTTTTAATAAAGGTTTGAAAAAATTATCGTTAATACCATATATGTTGCTTTCATGTTGATAATAGAACATTAAAAATATGACTTTCGTTTTAGGTTGTGGGCTTAATGTAGCTACTCCCATACTTATGGTACATTGTTAGTATCCTATCTAATTAAAAGCAAAATATCAGAAATAAAGAAACATATAGCAATCAGTGTTTAATTAGTATATCTTTTTAATATCAAAATTTTCCTTTAGTGTACCTTTTTTTTTGCTTAAGTTTTAATTATAAATAATCAATTTATTATCAATAAACTTTTTATTTCTTTACTTGCAGCAACAAATTCGAAGTCATTTGCGTTAGCAACTATACAGCAACATGTCTCTCCTAACTAGTAATAGTCACTCGGTTTCTGAGGAAGAAATTGACGAGTAAGTAAAATAATAAAGCAATTTAAAAGGGTCATGAAAATATAATTTTTGTAATGAATATCTTTTCTTGCTTTGCTTTACCCTGCCTCCAGTTGAAAAGCTATTGTTTAAGTCAAAATATATTGTGTAAAGTACAAAAAATGTACGAACGTAACAACTTTTATGTCAAAACAAACTTTGAACTCTCGAAAAGGCGAGAAAACTTTTAGGAAACTGCACTTTCAAAGTTGAGCCAAGTACAATGATATAAGTAAAAACTTAAGACAAAAAGAAAGTTTCCATACAATTTAGCAAAAAAAGGAATGTAGGAAATGTATCAAAATACTTACACAGTTGCCTATGCCCATACATCAGTAAATGTTATGTTACTTTGCTTTTTTGCTTCGTGTTATTGGTGAAACAATTCTTGATTGCAAGCCGGAAACACACCCAAAATGTAACACATTCTTGTTTGGTCAAGGGCAAAACTAAGGAAAACCCATTAACCAGAGCACAAACAAGAACTAAAACATATTATGACAATAGATATAACCTTTAGGCACTGAATTGTGAAATTGATTTCACATCAAATGTGGCAACACCTTTGCGCCTAAATGTATGCTAAGTGGCTGAATTCATTAACTTTGCTACAATTTGCCAACACACATACTAATTTTTAGGAGCTTAACATAAATATATTCCGTCCAATAAATATACTAATAAATGCAATTTTGGAATAGTCGTGAAAACAAATTAAATCTTAGGTAAATTAGAAAATACTTAAGTTAAAAGCTTTTTTCATTAAAATAAATAAATATATATATAATTGTTTTCGTGTGAATAATTAAAAACACAAAATAAAAATAAATTGAAAAATATGATGTTTTCTATACATCATATTGAATGTAAATTTAAATTTAAATGTAAATACAAAATATATAATATGAAGTTTAACATAAGTATATTTATTATAACAGTACATGGTACAAGCCTACAATGTCTAAATCGGAGTAGTAACCATCTGCCTTCTTTTATTATGTGTTTTATTCTTACATTGTTTCTTTTTATTTAAGCTATTTATATTGGCATCATTCTAGTTCTTCCTAGAATTTTGCTTATTTCTATTTAATATCCATTTCAAATGACACAAAATGATTCTGTCATTGATTTTTTTATTTGGATTTCAATTTTAAAAGGTTTTTTAAGTGTTGAAAACAAATCTACGATAAAGAACAAGGGATTTTTCTATTTTCTATTGTGAAATGTTTAAACATGCTTGGCACAATTCATTTAAAAGTATATGGATATGCCTACATACAGGACATGGAGATGCTTTACTGTCATTTTAATAGATTGTCATTTCAAATTTTTTGTATGTATTTGCACATCACGTGAAATGAACATAAATCAAAATGTCAAAACCGTCATTATAATGAAATTCAATTCCTTAAATATTTTAGATGAAATCAAGTGGAAATTGAAACGATTAACAAAGTATCCAAATTTGGATTCAATGTTCATTTTTGTATATTTTTTCAGCTTATATTATAAGTGAAAGTGAAAATATTCATTACGAAGGGATTTTTTTAAATTAAATTTAAATATAGACATTATGAAAGCTGCAAATAATTAAGGTTTAGTTTTATTTAGAAATTAAATTGTTATATTGTATATTTTAAAATAAATCTATTATAAAAAATGTAATATCAAGAAAATTTCATATAAATAATTTTTTGATAATTGAATTTTTTGACCTTTCAGTAAAACTCTTTCAAATGAATATTTATCTTCAGTGGTGTTTGGAAACATCAATTTTGTTGCTTGGCCAAGTATAATTTTTATATTGCAAGTGTCAAAAATTGAGACCTTTCAAATTTGAATTGTGGATCCGAGAATTAACACCCATAGCGTACGTGCACTTAATTTGGAATTTAAATGCAGTTTAACTATCAAGTTTAGTCCTAGTAATTTAAAATTAACACATAAACCACAACTTTTAAAATTTACTTAACAATTAACATCTGTCTGGAATCAGAAAAAAAAAATTTAGTGCTTGCTAAAAGCGCTGGGTTACTAGTTTAAACAATAATAAAATATAACAGATATTATCAAAATAATAAAGTACTTTTTTTTAATTGTATTTGGCACCATACACCATCCGTTTTTTAATTTTGGAATGCCTCTGTAATAGGTAGAAAAAAAATTTGGTGTACTGAATACTTATATTATATTACAAAGACTCAAAAAACTTCATGATATTCCCCATTATGAAACCCCACCGTCATACAAAATTTTCAAAAAGAAATAGTTAATTATTTAAAAAGAAATGTTTACTTTTTTAGGGTATGTATATTTATAAAAATACAGTTTCAAATAAAAACAAGGAGAAATTCGCTCATAAGCTCTTAAGTTATTTAAAATTTTATGAAATTCTAGCCAAATTGACATTGGCAAAAACTATATTACATATTACAATTTGAAAATTTTATTTCAATATTTATACTGGTTCAGAAAATTCCAAATTTTCTACAGTCACAAATCTACAGTCAAGGCACTTCATACAATTGTTCAAATTATAAAAAAGACACTTAATCTAAAGGAAGCAGCTCTCGATGCCTTTATGGACATTGATAATCGATAATGCAAACTTTAAAACAATAGGTTAGATCTATCTATTCTATACTCTCCAATAGAGGAGCATATCCAGCAATAGTGAAATGGGTAACCAATATGCTAAACCAAAGAAAAATCACAGCCACTTTAGGAGAAGTCAATCTTAGTATTACAGCAGTAAAAGGATGCCCGCAAGGGGGAGTACTCTCACCATTGTTATGGTCCTTAGTAGCAGATAACCTAATACAAATCCTCAACAACAAAGGGCATAAAACGATTGGATATGCAGATGACATATCAGTAATCATTACAGGCAACCATAAAAGGACTATAAGGGACTTAATGTAGGATGCATTTAATACAACATGGAAGTGGTGTAGGAAAGAAGGACTGTCAATTAATCCAACCAAAACCACCATTATACCATTTACCAGGAAAATGGCGTTTGATATCCCCATACTAACAATAAACAATATAGAGGTGTCCCTAAAGGAAGAGTTAAAATATTTACGAATTATCTTGGATAAAAACTCACCTCATCATACTATGTGGGTCATTGATATGGTAGGGAACTAGATCTAAACTGAGCAAATTACAGAGGCTGGCGTGCCTAAATATCAAGAGAGCCATGAGAACTACCCCAACTGCTGGCATGGAAGCACTGCTAAATTTACCACCGCTACACCTAGCAATACAAGAGGAAGCTGCAATTCAAGCGCTTTCAATACACCTGAAAGAAAAATTCAAACCAGGAAATTTCACTGGACACCTACAAATCCTTACCAGAGTGGAAAACGTTACATATATGACCCAAGCAATTGACAACACAGACTCAGTACTCAATTTCACCAAGATATATAGTATCATCTTCCTATCAGGGGAGAAGTGGAATGCCAACCCAACATGGTTACATGACGATTCGCAAAAAAGGTATACAGATGGATCCAAAACGCTTGAAGGTGTTGAAGCAGGAAACCCCCAAGCACCATTACAATTTCCAATTACGAACAGTAAAAGAACTATTAATAAGCATTATAAATGTAATGCGATTGAAAAAACTTTATGAAATCATAAAATAATATATAATCAAAAAACTATTTAATTTTATTCTATATTAATTTAATTATTAAGCTTATATTAAATAAGTTTCATAAATGTAAAATGATTGCAAATAAAAGGATTTAATTTCCATGAATAAAAGAACTTCTTTACATTTATCGCCCTGCCGCACTCACCACTAACGCGATATTTGGATGAACCTTTTTCAAGAAGAAAAGTATTCTAACATCGAAAATTAATTTTGAATATTTGTCTTTGACTCCGTGTGTTTTAGTAAAAATGAAAAATGGATTCACTTCCGTATGTTCTTTCCTTTTCTCAAAGCAAAGAATATTATCCTGATAATTTAAGGCAGTTCTAATCGAAATAGCGTCTATAAAAAAGCAATAATATATATCCAAATAAATGCAAAAAAGTTATTAAAGTGGATACGAATAAATACGCATAATTTTTGTTTCAAAAATATGTATATGCTAAAATATATGGTATTCTATACATAAAGTATATTATAATATATAATAATGGATATAAAATAATATAATAATGGATATAATCTACTATTATATACATATTTGTATTTGAATCTATCACTAATTAAAATTAAATTTCGAAGTACACCTTCTGCGCATAAGTAATTTCTTTCATTTTTAACTTTATTTTATTGTCAGTAATTTAATTTATTAACTAATTTCATTGAGTTTAGTAAGTTTAATTTAATTAGCAATTTTGGTAACTCACGAAAAAAAAAACCTATTAAAATGTCATAGTACAACTAATAAAAAGCGTAATTTATCTATCCTGAGTCACATTTGTATCTTTTGTTGCCTGATTTAATGGATTATAGTTACATCGCCCAATGAGCAAGCATAAGGACACATTAATTTATAACCAAATCCAAGGTTACCTTAACATGCCAGAGTTCAAGCACATTTATTTGGAATAAATATCTTACATTTTATATGCAAATAAAATGTGTTTATATCAACCAAACTATGTTCGAAACAGCATTCATACATACATATTTCTACGAGAAAAGATTAAGGAATGTACAGATATTTATGAATATTTACATTTTTTTTAAAAGAAAACTCATAGGATTTTGAATACAATTTTAGTACAATTTCGAATTTTGTATGAGAAATTGAATTGATAACCACTTGAAATAGCAAATATTGCAATATTGCAAAGAATATATATTGATAGGTTGAATTCAATACCAAAATTGATTAAAAAATAACTCGTATTTATTAAATATAAACGAATATTTACCCTGTTTGAAGTACACTCTAAGTATATATCCTATAATATGAAACCTTATGTACCGATGTTGTAAGTAGGTACTATTTTGG